GTTGCCAAATAATTCGGTCCATTGCGCTTCATGCAGTTCTGTTGTGAATGAAGAAAAATTTAGAAAATGAAAGAAACTCAAGGTTTGTTAATATACAATGTATTTTGAAATATTTGGTGAAAAATTAAAAAAACAAAACAAAACAACAAAAAAAAAAACACTCAATAAATATACACTTTTTTCAATGTTTAGCACTGTAGCTTTCTGGCCTGGTAGTCCATCCTATAATTGTTTTAGATCAGGCAGCGAACTACAGATCTGCAGCTTCTTATACATAGGGGTGAAACTGAGAGAGAGAGAGAGAGAGAGAGAGAGAGAGAGAGAGAGAGAGAGAGAGGTTGTCTCTGAACATTTTGGTATTTGTTTTATTTATTTATGCAAGAATTTGAAAGACCAAAGCATTTTTTCCTTCCAATGATTTACGTCTTAAAATATTATCGTGCGTACTCATGTAGAATGGAAGGTATTCGCATATTCAAATATAATTACAGAAATAAATCACTGATGGTATATCATACATCCAAATATTTATCTAAATTCATAAATATGTGTTTAATCAGTTAATTCCCACCTACTCTTCCTGATAAAGAATTTGATTTACTTTATAATCAGTGTTGATAAATGATCGATTTAGTGTGATTTTTTTCTATATTTGTAGTTTATTAGTTAAACAAAAATTGTTACCCTATCTTGTATTTGCGTCTAAAGTGTGTACAATTATTTGAGTTGTGTCGAAACGACCACCAGTTCACAGTAATTTTTGTAGATTGTATAACTCAGATACGTAGGATAAAATAATAACAGGTCCCTAGAAAACACCGAATTGTGAAAAGATCTTATTTATAGAAAAAGGGATGGTCCGGTTTGACAGATTAGTTTATCGGGACAGGGCGTGTGCGGCAAAAAAGGCAAATCTTTGGATAAATGTTGCTAAACTTTATAAATTTGTTTTACTTATCGTATGTTCCATTCAGCTGATCAAGCTTGCATTGTCGGCATCTGATAAGCAATGTAAAAGCGTTTGCAGCTGAACTCTTTTACTTTCATATGATTTGAGTAAAATTTTACTTTTTAAAATTCATTTACGTACTTGTCTTGTGAAAATTATTGTTATTTTAATTATATCTTCCCATCATATTGTATTAATTTTCTAAAATTTAGCAGAAGACAGTTAAAGTTTGCCTTATATTTTGGGGGTTTAGTGCACACACTAGGCCTTCTGGAGGAGTGTCCAATAGCCCGTGACCGCGATTGATCACGTATATTTGGAATTGTAGCTATCCAGAGTAGAGAAATATCGCGCAGACTGCTTTGCTCTTTTTACGTATAATAGGTTTATGACTTTTCACGATAGCTTTAACTATGTTTGAGGACACGCGAAACACAATACATAATTGATCAAACATATTATGTGACAAAATTGATCAAGCCTATTATAATTGATACTAATTTTATTTTTTTTAAAATAGACTTTAACAAGTGTCACGTAGACTTCAAGGTAAACAGAACTACCTTTATTTTAATGGAGGTCCTCTGATAAATATCTGAGACATTGCTTATATGTGCATACATGTAATAATATTGTACAAGAAAGTTTTATGTACATGAAAATGGTTATTATTTATTAGCCACCTTTTCCTTTGACAGCTTTTTAAAAACAATCGATTGAATAAATAAAATCATACCTTCAAAAATAAATAAATTAAATCTTACCTCACTATTACCCTCCATGCCCGTACCAGGAAGCTTTATGTTTTAAATTCAGTTTTCCTTATAATGGAGTAAAACGATTTAATCTTTAAAAGCATTCTTTTTTATTACATATTTGTGGTTGATGCATCGTTATCTTTTGCGGATCTGAAACACTGCCTTTTATGAAAATTCACTGGTCTTGGTGTTTGATTTGCAGTATAGATAAAAAAGAAAATATGAATTAAAGAGTACAACACACTGGGGAAGATAACTCTTGCGATTTCAATTGAACGTTTTACGTGACGTCTTTAACGTTGGTGATAAAGCATCATGATGACGAATACTACGATCCCGATGTATTAACCATATAAGATCTAGAAAAATGGGATATGGGGCTTGATTGCGATTATGAGTGCCAAACTGAATCCTACCTTTTTTAACCGTAAAAAGTAAGGCTCAAAGCCTCAAAAGATCATCCATTGATATTTATTTTATTTCAATGAATTGTGTTCTCAATCAAAACGCAGTGTTTTTTCTGAAAATTTTATTTTAGCCTAGATTATCTAAATTCTTGTTTTGTGCAACTGGCTACATAACATTTCGATTAATTGTCAATTTTTCAATTTGCGCATTCACGAAATAAATATTGTTTTGTACTTCTTCAATAAAAAAACAACAAAACAAAACAAAACACCAATAAACAAAAAGAACTTTTTACAATATCGATGTCGGTCTGACGGTCTCAGTGCTGATGAAACAGGAACAATTCTGAAAATGTGGGTTTGTTTTCCTCCCTTTATTCACTGTTTTCCGCACACATACATTTACAGCCAGGCTTGATAAATCAGAGAATTTAATACTATAGACCTTATACACACAATGTAGGCACAGTAATATTGAAAAAGAATTGTTCACGAGTACTGTAATTATCTGAATTTATGAATATCCTATATTGTATGTATTGCAGCAAATCTTTAATTTGACTTTCTGTTAGTGTTACTGTCAACAATGTCAGTTTGCATTTCCTCGATTAAAAAAAGGTTAGAATATCTTATACAGAGTGTAACACAATTGGAACATACCGTATATATAAATAAACACTTTCCCGGAAATGCTGAACAAAGTCAGGACACAACCTTATATGACATTTGTTGGACTCCCAGGGTCCAGAAAATCAGCAACGATTTATCACATAGCCCTGATACTCCAGAAGGAAGGATACGAGGTTGTACCAGTTAAAGACATCAGTGAGATTTACCGTTATTGTGACTCCCATAATCCTCAGGTATTTGTCATCGATGATGTGGTATGTGTGTTGGGTCTTCAAAAACTAAAGTTAGAGACATTAGTTGACTATCAAAAAATTATTTCAGATATGCAAAGGTACTGATGTCAAGTAGGGAAGCAGTGTTTAATGAATGTTACAAATAATTTTTGACAAATAAGGAAAACCTTATCAACTGTGTAGTCCAGAAAATCCACTGAATGATGACGACAAAAAAAGCCATTCTTCAGACACACGACTTGGATAAAGATTTGTTGTCTCCTACATTACTGAGGGAAACATCGACTATGTTTCCTCTATTATGTAAACTCATATCAAAAGAGGCGAATTTTAGGAACAACATTGAAAGGTTTTTTACTTGTCCAACTGAATGCATTTTAAAAGAGTTTGACAAAATGCAGGAACAGAATAGGTTACATTATGCTACGTTGGTCTTGTGCCTTTTAAATGACAATAAATTATCAAAAGAAATATTAAAAGACACAGAAAATAAGACTTTCAGCGAAATGAAATCAAAAGCATTAGAAAATTGTGAAGTTGAGAGTTACACGGATTCATTTAAATTTGTTAAAGCATTATCAGTAATGGAGGGGACATACACAAAACAATGTGGTACTGAGTATACCTTTATTCATGACTACATGTTTGAGATCATTGCTCATCATTTTGGTTCTCAATTCCCAGATCTCATTTTACAATTTATGAGTAGTAGTTACATTGCTAACTACGTAAAGCATCAAAAAGATGAAATGCTTAAAGTAGAGATTGAATATAACAAGCGAGTGAAAATGATTCAATCGACAGTGAGAGAAAAATGGAATAAATATTGCTTGTAAAAGTTCACAAAAAGGGGAGAAAGAGGCTTTAAGTGCTGAACACTGTGATAGAATGGAGGTTTGAGATCTCTATATAACGATAGGGGAGGATCAGTATTCCATGTTAGCTGAGCGTTTGTACATAGATATAGAAAATATGGAGCTGTATGATGTTTTCATGAACAATATTTTAAAACACCCTAAGGTATGCCAGGCTTTAATTGAAGTGTTGGAGACAAAGTCCTACACAGGGCTAAAATCTCTATTTCTTTCAGAACAGAAAGACGTGTCTAAGGTAGTGAGTAAAAGAGAGCGTGTGAGGGAGGAGAGTGAGAATAGGGATGGGAGGAGCAGGGAGTGGCACAGACAAGAAGTGTTGGTGAATGAGAGGATTAAGGAGGAAGATCATGGAGCAAAAACATACAGTGTGAGGGTTATCAGTTGGGTGGTGTATTATGGACACAAAAGGATTTTACATTATATTTTAGAACAAACTGAGTGTCACAAAAAAACACAGTCTGAACTTTTAAATTTTTTTTTCAAACTTGCTTTACTTAATCCAACAAAAGAAGAGGGAAATAGAATTGCAGTAAATGATCCAATCCAAAATTTAAGGTCATTTAGATACTTGGACATTGATAGATCAATATCTGAACACCAGCGATTACTTTTGCTGAGTTTTTATAATGGAGATTTAAAAACTGTGAAAACATTTATTAAATATTTCAAAAGTAATACAATTTATACGATCTTTCCAGATTTAGAGTTTAAATATGTATTGGGTGACACAGTACTGTGGGCCGCGTCTACGGATGGACATCTGAGTGTAGTGAAGGAACTGGTAGAGGCAGGAGCTGATGTCAATCCACGGAAAGTTTTTGAAACACCACTGACAGCAGCAAGTAAGGGTGGATATATAATTATCCCGCTTCAGACAAATTTGTAGACAATTGATTGGATGAGAGCTCATCACATGACGCCCTGAAATTTTCAATATTACGTCTCCGAGCAGGGGGTGTATTAAAAATCGGGCACGCGATTCTGTTTGTTACGAAGCTAGGGTAAACAAACATGGCGGCTAATAAACGGTTCTCGCAGACGACCGAGTAAGAACTTGAAGAAAAAAAAAATCAAACTTAATTCCAGGAACACAATTAAATGCAACAATAAGGCTGCAAATACTTTAAGAGATTACTTAAAGGAAAAAACGCAGGATACAGCATTTGAACAGTTTGTTGAGGTCCAGTTGAATGAGGTGTTAGGACATTTTTACATCGATGCTCGGAAGCCAAACGGGGAGAAATATAAAACAACAATGCAATCTAGTCAAAAAAACCTACAATTTTCAACAACTGCCAGTTTTCGTTCAATTTCAATATTAATAAATAGTGTGTCATCATGTAATTAATTGACATTGTCATCATTGAAATACAGTTACCTTTTCAAAACTACATTCATGTGTTCTTTGTTAAGTGTGCTAATATTATAAATTGATTATCTGATGGTATTTAATATACAAATATGAAAATGTCTTCAACGGGATAAATTCGTTACACAGTCAGTTAGTGACCTAATACGGATTCATACAGGGCCCAATACGGATTTCCATTTCAGACCCTGTATGAATCCGTATTAGGTCACTAACTGACTGTGTAACTAATAGTATAATAAAGAAGCTTATAGAGGCCTGGGCTGATATCAATCAGCATGGTACGTATGATACACCACTGACAGCTGCTTGTTAAGGTTTCGTCAAAGGTCAACATGTCTAAAAAATTATTTTTACAATTGTTCCAAAACTATGTGTGGTATGAAGTGAAAACGTTTACATTTTGTAAATATATCACTGATTAATTGATAGAAAGTATTACTTGATAACAAATATTTTTGAAAAGAAATTTTTTGAGAAAAAATTGTATAAGAAAATGTGCATATTTTAAAAAAATGCACCTGCATAATTCTGTCCTTTTTGTGTAAACTAACATTGTAGAAATAATGTATGTTTATCATTGAAGGGCAAGTTGGACATGAATGGTCTCTGAAAGCTTGTTATTGAAAGCCTGACATGTATAAAGACAAGACCCCTATAGAATCCGCCATTTGCAGTGTACTTTCACTTACAAGTCTTAACATTTGGACAAAATAAACAGGGAAAACAACTTTCCAGAGGCTATCCAAGTCCAACTTGCCTTTCAATGATAAACATATTTTGTTTCTGCAATGATGGTTTTCACTAAAAGCATGGAATTAATTAGGTGTATATTTTTGAAAATATATGCATTTTTAAGAAGAATTTTTCTCAATTAATATTATTCCAAGTATTTTTTTATCAAGTGATACTTTTTATCTGTTAATCCATAAATAATTTATAAACTGTAAAAGTTTTAACTTTATACCTTACAGAGTTTTGGGGCTATTGTAAAAATAAATTTTTGGACATGTTGTCCTTTGACGAAACCTTAAAGTGGACATATGAATGTAGTGAAGGTGCTTATTGAAGCCGGAGCTGATGTCAATAAAAAAACAGTTTTGTTTATACACCACTGACAGCTGCTTGTAAAAGTGGATATCTGTGTGTAGTGAAGGAGCTGATACAAGCCGGAGCTGATATCAATCAACAAGATAACTTTCATACACCACTGACAGCAGCATGTGACTGTGGACATATGAGTGTAGTGAAAGAGCTAATAGAAGCCGGAGCTGATATCAATCAAAAAGGTCAGTGTTTTTATAGTTATACACCACTGATAGCAGCTTGTAAGGATGGATATATAAGTATAGTAAAGGAGCTGCTAGGGGCTAGAGCTGATGTCAATCTACAAGGAAAGCATGGAATAAGTATAGATAACGAAACACCATTAACAGTCGCATGTAAGGGTGGACACTTTGAAATAGCAAAAGAGTTGCTAGAGGCAGGGGCTGGTGTTAATCAACGAAGTAAGTGTGATACACCACTGACAGCAGCATGTGAGGGTGGACATGTAAATTTAGTGCAGGAACTCCTGAAGGCGGGTGCTTATATCAATGTACACAGTGAAATAGATTCACCTTTAACAGCAGCAATTAAAGGTGGAAATATTATTATAGCTAAACAGCTGCTTAGGGCAGGGCCAATGTTAATCCAAAAGATACGTATGTTACACCTCTAATAGCAGCATGTAAAGGTGGGCATGAGAGTTTTGTGAAGAGTTGTTAGGTGCAGGGACTGATGTTAATTTACAAAGTACACGTGAAACACCACTGATAGCAGCTTGTTATTGTGGACATATGAGTATTGTGATGGATCTCTTAAAGGCAGGAGCTGATGTCAATCTACAAATTAAATCTTGAACATCACTGATAGCGGCATGTTGGGGTGGACATGAGGATGTGGTTGAAGAGATTGTAAAAGCAGGGGCTAATATTAATTGACATGGTTATTTTCATAACTCACTGAAAGTGGGTGTAGGAAATTTAAGAGATTTATTTGATTTATATGAATCTCACACACTACTAACATTAGTATGTGGTGGTGGATATACGAGTGGAGTTAAAACGCTGCTTAACGCAGGTGCTGATGTTAATCCTCAGGATGAATCTTTAACCCCACTAATAGCAGCAATGAAGGGTGGATATATATGTATAATAAAGAATCCTACTTATACATATACTTCTCTTTCTAAAGAAGAAATTCTTCAAAATCACCTGTCAGTTTTGAATACTTTTAATATTCCACAGAGCCAAAATGAATTTGAACTACCTTATATATATTGGATTCCGAAACTTCATAAGAATCCTTACAAACAAAGATACATTGCAGGTTCCAGTAAATGTTCAACCAAGCCTCTTTCGTTACTTCTCGCTAAACTATTGACAGTAGTGAAGGAAAAACTTCAAGAGTACTGTACAACTATATATTCAAGAAGTGGTGTAAATCAGATGTGGATACTTAAAAATTCTAAAGAACTTTTGGACAATTTGAAATCACAAGACTTTACAAAAATCAACAGCATAAAAACTTACGACTTTTCAACTTTATACACAACAATTCCCCACGACAAATTAAAATCCAGGCTTTTTGATATCATTGACAGCTGCTTCTTCAACAAAAATGGAACTCGTAAGTTTACTTACCTCGTCATTGGTCATTTAAAAAATTATTTTGTTGAAACAGATTCTGATTGCACACATAAGTACTCTGAAGTTGACTTCAAGAAGATGCTTGAGTTTCTGATTGACAATATCTATGTAATTTTTGGAGACCAGGTATTCCAACAATCTATTGGAATTCCCATGGGTACCAATTGCGCTCCGTTATTAGCAGACTTATTTTTATATTCATATGAAGCAGAATTTATGCAAAATCTTTTGCGTGAAAAGAAGAAAACACTTGCTGTGGCCTTCAACTCGACATTTAGATATATCGACGACGTATTGTCAATTAATAATGATAATTTCCATTCCTACGTCGACACAATATATCCTGGTGAGCTTGAGATAAAAGATACCACCGACACTTCTGCTTCATACTTGGATATTTTACTTGAAAAAGACACTAATGGTAATCTAACAACCAAACTATATGATAAACGTGATGACTTTAACTTTTCTATCGTCAACTTCCCTTACTTATGCAGCAATATACCTTCATCACCTGCATACGGAGTATTTATATCTCAGTTGATTCGATACGCAAGAGCATGCTTTACGTATGAACAATTTCTTAAACGAGGTAAATTATTGACAAGCAAGTTGATGAAACAAGAATATCAACAGTCTTGTTTAAAGTCATCATTTCGTAAATTCTATGGTTGATACAATGACCTTGTCAGCAAATAGAATTTATCATTGAATGAAATGCTGACTGACGTTTTTCATACCAATTGTTAGTCCATTATTTATACACTGAATTGACCACGGATTATTTCCGTTATTTCCTGATTATGACAACGAGCAAACGGCGGGTGTGACCGGTCGGCAGGGGATGCTCACTCCTCCATGGCACCTGATCCCACCTCTGATGTTTCGGAGGTCCGTGTTTGCTCTGCTCTTATTTTGTATATTTGTTTAATGGACGTTGAGATTGAATACTGTTCGTTATTTCCATATCCTTCTGCTAAGTGCAGGGGCTGACCTAAATCTTCAAGATAAGCATGGATTTCATACACCATTGACAGCAGCATGTGAGCGTGGACATGTGGATGCAGTGAAGGAGTTACTACAGAAAGGGGCATATGTGAATCTACAAGGAAAGTATGGTACACCACTGACCCTTGCATGTAGGAGTGGACATACGAGTATTGTGATAAAGTTAATGAAGGCAGGGGCTGATGTCAATCTACAAGGGAGGGATGACACACCACTGACAGCAGCATGTGATGAGGGACATTTGAGTATTGTGATAGAGCTGCTGAAGGCAGGGGCTGATGTCAATATACAAGGAGAGTTTAATACACCACTGACAGCAGCTTGTTATAGGAGACAAACAAGTATTGTGATAGAGCTACTGAAGGCAGGGGCTGATGTTAATCTACAAGGAAAGCATAATACCCCACTGACTGCAGCATGTGAAGAGGGACATATAAGGATGAATGAGGAAGAAGGATGGAAAAGGAACCAAGGAAGTATTGTGACGGAGCTGCTGAAGGCAGGAGCTGATATCAATCGTCATGGACAGTATGCTACACCACTGACTGCTGCATCTAAGAATGGTTACATGAATATCGCTAAAAAGCTGCTAGACGCAGGAAGTAACGTTAATATGCAGGATAAGGAAGGAAACACCCCTCTCCATCAAGTTTTTATCACCATAAATAAAACCTTCATTCCTGCTATACTAAGAATATTTTATATTTACGATGCAGACCCAACTATTAAAAATAAAGAAGGTTTTTTCATCATTCTATATTGCATTAATTAGAAAGAAAATTGGTTCGGTTAGGCAAATATTGAGAACAGAGAATGAAAGTCAGTTAGCTAGACTGAGGTTACATTTGTTTGAGATTTTGGTAGACATTAGACACAGTGACGTGATGACTGCTAGTAAGGATGATGTGGTAGTGACACGGAGACGAGTGTGGCGTATGGAGAGAGGGGGACATTTGTATGAGGCAATACTAGAAAGTGAGTGTAAAATTCTAAAACATCTTTTAGATGTGTGTCTTGATGTCAATCACTGATTGATGAGATATATTTTTACTGCAGACGTTATGGTGACGACAGTTTATTGAATAAGGCGCGGATCCTCCTGGAGTCGGGGGTGAATGTCAATGTCAGGGAGAAGTACAGAGAGTATGATTCTGTGTTAGACAGAGAGGGGTGTCTGTTCTAGAGAGGATACGACGACAGGTAAATAAGTATAAGTGTTATAGGGTAGCAGTGTTTAATTACACGGGAGTGATCAAGGAGGTCAAGAAATACGTTAGGCGATACTCTGTGTGAAAAATATAAAGAAATCCAGATACCTCCACTATTAAAACTTAATATTATGAACGTACATATTACCATATCCATATTGTAAAACGCTGTAGGGTTATTTTTTTTTAAAAGTTTTCAATTGTTTTATTGATATTTTTATATGGAGTATAGAATGAACAAAAGTCTTAATTATTATGAACTTACATATTACCATAACCCTATTGTAAAACACTGAATACTATTTTTTTTTTTATAGTTTTCAAATGGTTTATTAATACTATTATATGGAGTATAGATTGAACAAAAGTCTTAATTACTATCAGTGTATAAAACTACGAACTATCTACTACGACGTAATATGGCTAAAATAATGTCTTATATGGATTCATGTTATTTGAAATAGCTGGTACACTTTAATGCATATTTCTCATCCAAGCTATTTACACTTATTTTGATAATTTTGGTATATATTTATTTGACTAGTAAGATTTGTGGTTGAGAGATTTGTGTTGGCTGTTTACTGTATTTCAATGTGCATAAATGTTTACAATGTTTTGTAGATTGTAGGATGTTCAGCAGATCGACAGATAAGAAGTGAAAAATTAGATCTCAATTTTATCCTTATTTTCATTGAAATTTTATCTTATACTTAAGTATACTTAATGTATAATCTCTACAATTTACAAAAATCCCATTAAAAACTGAAAATATATGCCTCTAGAAAAGCATACACACTAAAAAGAACAAAACGATCATTTTCTCATACTTTAACAATTTCTTTTTAATATGAGTGTCTTCATTCCATTTTTTTGAAAGATAATCTTAAAGTTTGCAATAAAATAAGATTTTTCTGGTTAACAAAAACATGGAGCGAAGACCGACTTTACCTTACCATCTTGTTCATATTTTCGATGGTAGAACTTTTAATAAGCTTTGATTGAATCAAAATTACATTATTGTTGTCCTGAACAATAATGATTCATAAACTAAAATTGTATTGGGTTGTATATAGAAGTCTTTTGTCTGCTTTATTTTAGTCTGATTGGTCATAAAGGTTTAATATACAGACAAATGCATTAAATAATACATTTTAAAAGCAAAATAAAATTTTCAAAAATGCAGCTCATACAATCTAACAAACTCGCAAAGAGGGTTACGCCAGATGTCAAATTTGGAATAGCTCTATACTTATTCACTTCAACAATATACACCGTTGGCGGTAGCTCAGTCGGTAGAGCGCTCGCTTCGTGATCGGGAGGTTGTGAGTTCGTATCTCGGCCGCGACTGACCTTGTCGATAAAATTGGTTGCAAATGTTTCTTCGCCATGCGCTCGGAACTCTCAAGTGAAAGTTACGGGTCCTTCGGATGAGACCTTAAAAACCGAGGCCCCGTGTCAGCGGCAGGCGTTGGCACGATAAAGATCCCTCACTGCTCAATGGCCCTGAGTGCCGAGTAAAGGTCAAAATGTGAAACCCTTCACGGCATACGGTGACGTGTCCATATGAGTGAAAAATTCTTGAGAGGGACGTTAAACAATATATTGTAAGCTCCCTGGGAATGGCCTAGCTACACAAAATAAACACTGGTTAGTACACATGTACTAAAATCCTTGTTCCTCTGGATTCGTCTTGGTCTCAACAATATTTATTAATCATAAATCAGCACTTATTTCAAAAGTTACAATTATAAATTTTGGTGGCGTCTACCGTACAGGCTACTATTATAAAAAAAAGTGGGTTGTACAATGGCTAA